ATATATTATCATATTATTTGACTCCATTAGACAGAAATAGAATAATTTTATTTAATATTTCCATAATTCATTTTCTTAATGAGTTAGTTTCAGAAAAATATAGATTACATTCTTTCAAAGAGATTGATTGTTAAACACATATTCATATGCTGTAATTATTTCTGACACAGCACAATCATTTATGAATAATTTATTATTATCTTTATGATATATTAAGGCTTTAATTTATTGATATTCTGTATGAGGACCAAACAAATGAAAGTTACTAATAAGTGTTTGTATTTGACATCTGTATAGTGTACTTTTTAGCATATCTCACGTGTTTTAGTCTCTGCTTAATAGATCTCATTAAAAAAATAGATATCAGCCCCCAGACAGTTTGTCAAGACTAACATGAGCCCCCCTGGATTGAACTGACAATTTGTGCAAGGCTTCATATCATAGTCTTATTTGATCCTTAACAATTGGGCATTAGTCACTGGTTTATTTTATAATAACTTAGATGAGTTGAATATTATTATATTGTGTTGGACATTTTAGTGGGTTTTCTTTTTTACAAATTTTACTCAGAGCATACATTGGGTGTAAATGATATATTCAGCCTGCTCCAGGAGTGCTAACAATTGATTGGTTGGGTTGAGAGCAGCATGGGAAGAATGTTACTATCCCCTAGCTGCAAACAGTATTTAATTCCAGACTTAATGAAGACTGTCTGCCTAAAGGCTTTGAAAAACCTCGAATGCTTAACATTCCACTAGCATGTTGTCTGGTGTGTGTGTGTGTGTGTGTGTGTGTGTGTGTGTGTGTGTGTATTTGTCTAAAAATGTGACTCTATAAATTTTCCATGCTTTTAAAGCTGTATATGAAAGAGATTTTAAAGAATATTTAATACAGATTTCTCAACTTAGGTTGAGTCTCAAAAAAAAGTTATAAAATGTAAACACAAAGTATTCCATTTAGAATTATCTTTTTCTTTAATTTCCTCTTGCATCCTCTTCCCCTCCCCCAAGTGTGCAGTTCATGAACTTATTAATGCACATTTATGGTTAGAAAATTATCATTCAATGTTACCAAAAAGATGTTAAAGTCATGAGCTGACTTTGTACTAAATGAACTCCAAAACTTCCTAGAATTCTCTCAGATCTGCCACAGTTCTTCTGGGTCCCATTTTAAAGCTTTGTTCAGGAAATGCTTAAAGCTAGCTAGTGAAATTTTTAAGTTTTTAAGAATACCTGAAGTTTATTTATGAAATAATGTGTTTATCATTCCCTCAAGTACATTTTGCCAATAATTCTATGAATTACTGGTTGACCTCTAAGGACTGACCTGTGACATGTGATGCAGGCTGAACTGTGGCATGCAGTGTCTCCACAGTGTATCTGCAGCATAATAGGGGCATACAGTATTGTTCCTTCAGCATTTTTGCTTAAAATTCTGATGCAGTATCAAGATGTAAAGCTTCAAGCATTTAAATCAGACCAACTTCACCATTTCAAATGTGCATTAAAAAGTAATCAACCATCAGGAAACTCACAGTTCTTTGTTTGATGACACATAAAATAAAATTGCCCTAGTTTTAAGAGCTTTAATATTGAGAAAATTCATTTGTGCTTTGTCATTTGCTGAGCCTTCTAGAATTTTATAGTCTCAAATCACAATACCATGGACACTCGGGAGACTCCTGGCTGTTTTATCTTATTAAACAATTTTGAAATCATTAATTTTTAATTAGCTTGGATGCAGGTTTTTTTATTGTTTCAATAGAGGGTGTATATGAACTAAACGTTTTTTATTTAAACTACTGGCAAGAGTATTATTTACATAAATAAGTGTTTGTTCTTTCTCAGAATACATACTGTGAGTTTGCTTCATCTAGGGTTACTTTCCTGTAGATTCAGAGATATTGCTTATTAATCTGTTACAGTAGAGCTTTTCATCAGTTTATTAGTCATATTTTTGAACAACAACCAAAAAGGATGTACTCTTTGAAAACACATGTAAGTCCTTCTCTGATTGAAAGTTCTAATTAAGTGAATTGGAGAAAATTAACTGAAATTAGCTGTCAGAAAGTCACATTTAAATGAGTGATGAGCTAGTCTGGCAGTAAACATTTAAATGATATAAATTGCCATTTAAGTGTATGGTTTAATGTTTGTCATGCATTAATGTGACATGAGACTGTGGTGACAATCAAGCAGCTTGCTCTAATTTGAACATATTTAGAGCTTTTGTATGGAGTGCAGTGCACACAAATTAAGACAATTGCTGTTTTTATGTGTCACTTTAAATATGCTTCCCCACTCCCTCCCATCCCTTCCCAAGGCCTCTGTTAATGAAACAACTTATACTAGTAGTTCAGGATTTTTAGATTCCTTTTAAATTTATGTAGTTACAATAGAAATTTGCTTACTTATTAACAAACCCTCATATTATGGCAAGTGAAATGTGAGGCAGTTTTGTGTTTCCTTCTTATCATCTCTTTATGAAGGTGGTAAATACAATGGATTTTATAATAAATGTCTAAAACAGCAACTTCACAGTGGAAGCCTGGTGAATCCTTTTAGTCATGTTTTATTTCGGGTATTCTCTGGCATGTGAGAATTGTCTAGTGTGTAGAGTTTTATTTGGTGAATTGTATTTTATGTATTGTATATTACAAACCCATGTTAAGTGGCTATAAAGGAAACATTGTATTTATCTATAAATATCTTTCATAGGTAATCATTTTCATAAGGCATATTTTTATACAAATGTACATCTGTGAACTAATGTGACTATCTTTTGTCCCAAGATGGTTTATATCTCATTGGCTGTTTGCTTTAGAAGTTAATTATTAGTGCAGTGCCTGTGGAGGTCAGAAGAGGGAGTTGGATTCCCCTGGAATTGGAGTTACAAATGGTTGTTAGCAGTCATGTGGGTGCTGGGAATTGAACTAGAGCAGCCAATACTCTTAACTGCTGAGCCATCTCTCCAGCCCTCTAAAACTACTTTCATTGAAATTCTTTCCCACATATAACATAGATAACATGGTATATTTTTAATAAGGCCTCAGAGCTTAAGTTTGGCTATTCTTGATTTGAATAGCATTATTTGTTGATAAACCTAAAGCAGTTAGTGTTAAACTTTAATTAAGTTGGAATAGTTTTGAACAGTATTATATAGTAAAAGGATAAATACCTCCTAAAAGATATGTTTCCACTTTTCTAAACTCTTATTTCTTACTTTATTCAGTTCAACAGACATTTCTTAGTACTTACTGTATTTGGAACTCAGTACTTATAAACGGGAATGTAGTGATGAATAGGAAGTGGATCTTGGGCTCAGCATTTCAAGTGAATATTTGATTCTGTTCATTATTTACTGAGCACAGTTAATACTATAAAGTATTTGGTTTGTTTTGATACTAATATGTAGTATAAAATTCAGCAACTATAAGTATCCCCCCACAAAATCCAATTTGTTGACATAAACACAGTTAAAAAACAAAATAATTTGGTTGCAGTTACAGTAGACAATGTTTTGAGAAAATTAAATATTTCAAGTGAATAGTAAATTTAATGTTTTTATATTTGCTTTTCCAAAGTAGTCCTTACACTCTATGACGTCCTTTCTTTGAAGCATAAATTGAGTACCTGTCAAGCCTGAGTTACAAATGTGAGCAAGATAAGGCCAACTCTGGGCCTTATAATGCTTACAGTATAGTGGGTGAATGTCAAAGCATTTATTACAGCTTAGCATGATATGGGCCAGAAGGTTTCTCATATACACAACAGAACAGATTCAGCTAGAAGATAGAACATGAGATTTTTTACAGTACTGGAGATCGAATCCAGGGCCTCACACATGTAAAGCATGAGCTACACCGTACCCCAGGCCCCAGCCCCAGTTTTTCTCTCTCCTCTCCTCTCCTCTCCTCTCCTCTCCTCTCCTCTCCTCTCCTCTCC